TAGAGGCCGTCCGTTTCGTTCTGGAATAAGGAGGGACCCAGACCCCAGACCCCAGATCCCAGGCAGGCCGAGAAATGGATGGCTCGCCGAGTCGTGCGTCGACTCTCTACGGCCCGGCCGGCCACGCCGCTCCGCTCGGTGAAGCCGCCTGCTGCGGTGGCTGTCTTGGGAGGGAGGGCGGGGCGGCCGGGGGGGCCTTCCAAGGTCCTGGCGTGCGTGCGTGCGTGCGTGCGTGCTTGCTTACTCCTGATAAGAAATCTTCCTCATCTCTCCCAGTCTGTGTCGTGCTGCGTTGAGTGCATTCTCCAGCTGCAGGATTTCCACCTGGATCACATCACATCCCGGGTTAGCCAGCTGTACAGACCGGCCCAAAGTGCCAACAGACATGCAAGGAAGGAAGGAAGGGGGGTGTCTCAATGATTGATTGATTGGTGGATGTGGATGTGGAAGGGACAGAAACATGACATGACATGACATGGTGACATACCTGCTGCTCCATCTCGCGCACCTTGAACTCGTGCGTGCCGAGCTTCGAGTAGTCCACCTGCTCCTCCTCGCCGCTGCGGTCCCTGATCAGCGCCTGCACCTGCCGCACGAGGGCGCGGCACGCGGCGCCCACGGCCTTGCTGGCCTGCTCGAGGGTGTCCTGGCTCTTGCTCATGAAGCCAGCCTTGACGCGGCTGGCGGCCACCAGCTGCGCCGTCGACGCCGCCACGTCGTTGGAGGCCACGATCAGCTGCTCGGGGCTGTTGCGCCCAGAGATGGTGCCGTCCGCCGTCTCGATCAGCGTGTTGGTCGACGACGCCACCGCCTTGGCCGCCGAGATCAGCCCTTCTGTCCACCGGTTGTTCTTCTTGTAGAAGGCCGTCTTGGACGACGAGCCCCGCCCGGCCGCCACAATCTCTTGCTGTGTGACAGTGGCTGCCTTGATCAGCCTGGCAATCGCGTCGGTGATCGCCGTCGCCGCGTCCAGGATCGTGTCGCTGACCTTGAGCTCGTACGTGGAATACCCGTCGCGTGGCTTGTTCCTGAGCTTGGCAAGACGTGCAGCTGCTGCTGCAATGGCGTCTGCGGCCTTGCTCAGCTCCGAGTCGACGAGCTCCCCAAGATCGCCCTTGAGCTTGCCAAAGCCCGGAGCAAACGCCTCGACGAGTTTGTTCAGCTTCTGCAGGTTCATCTGCACGTCGTTGTTATTGTTGATGACCACATCCGTCTTCTGGATGGGGTCCATCCCCTCCAGGCGGAAGCTCTGCAGGCTGCGGAAGAACTTGACCGTCGCCTGTGCCGACTGTCTGGCACCGTTCATGAGCGAATCCGTCTTCTTGTCATCTGTCGCAAGGCGCGTGAGGCCCTTGGTGTTGTTGCAGACATCGGATGCGGAGCTGGCGAAGACGTTGATGGCCTTGATGAGCTCGGCATGGCTGGCGTTGGGGCCGTCGGCAATGAAGTTGTTGAACGCCGTCGCGAACTCCATGGCGCTGCCCGATGCCTTCTCAATCTGCGATAGCACATAGGATGGAGATGCATTCTGGTTGCCTGCCTGCATGGTGGAGTCGAGTTCATACAGGGCGTCGTCTACTCTCTGCACACCAGACTGGAGGACAGAGTCAATAATGTCGTTGATCTTGTCCAGATTGGCCAAGATCAGAGCGTCAAGGTGTCCGTCGAGGACATTGTCGGATACACCCTGGTTCTGCTTGAGCTCATTGAGCTCAATCAGCGTCTGGTCCATGCCCGCCTTGTAGACTTCTAGCTCTTCCTCCTTGTCACGGAGAAGCTGCTCAAGATCAGAGCTCCCATCTCGAAGGCGGGACTGGGCCTCCTCCAACGCGCGCGACTTGTTTCGAAGCGCTTCCTCCAGGTCTGCCATCTCGCGATTGTACTTGGCCAGCATGGTCGAGAGTTCATTGCCCTTGCTTCGCTCCATGTTGTCCGCCCGGTCGTTGGCCATCCGAAGCTCGCGCTTGAGCTTCTCGACTTCATCCTTGTTGCCTCCAGCCAGACGGTCCTTCTCGTGTAGTGCCCTGTCCCTCTCACGGATCATGTCTGCCAGCTCGAGGTTCTTCGTCTTGATCTCACGCTCAAGCTTCTCGCGACGATCGATCGCTTCTTGCGCCGAGGCGGCCTTGAGCTGCACAGACTTGAATTTTTGCAAGAGGTCAAGATGCTCATGACGCAGCTGTGAGTAGAGCTTCGCAAGCGCCTCGTACTTGGTCCTCCATGTGTTGACCTGCTCTTGTAGAGCCCGGATCTGATCGTCCTTGCTCGTGATCTGTTGGCCATAGCTGTTTTGTAGCTGCTGCAGTTCTCCTTCCAGTCCCTTGACTCGCTGGTCATATTGCTGCAGCATGAGCTGGTCTCGCTCGTACTGTGCTCTGGCGTTCAGATTCTCGCGCTCCAGCTCCGCGAGCCTTCCCTGTGTCTGCCACTGTGCCTGCTGTGCCATGAGCGCCTCTTGTTCTCGCTGCTGCTGCTCGGCCAGCCGTCGCTGCTGCTCTTCAAAGTCTCTCTGGGCTTGAAGCTGGGCCTGCTGCTGAGAGAGAAGCTGCTGCTGCTGCTGTGCTTCGAGGACACGCTGCTGCTCCTCGTACTCCCGGTTCTGTCGATCCAGCTCGCTCTTCCAGAACTCGGAGATCTCGTCCGGCTCCTCCGACTTGGGTGCTGTGACGGGAGTGGGCGCCCGCTCAATCTCCTGCTTCGGCCTCGCCGGGAGCGCAGGAGCCTCGTCGTCCTCCGCCAGCAGGTTGGGCGGGTCTTGTGGCAGCTTCGGGATGGTGATGAGACTGGTCAAGTACCGCAGATTGGAGCACTCGTAGTAGAACTTGACGAGCCGGTAATGCTGCGCATCATAGCGGCCGCGGAGAGGCTCCAAGGCTTCGTTGTCGCCCGTGGTGGAGTGCATCGCGCGGAGCATGCTCGTGATGAACTTGTAGATTCCGTAGCTCTCCTGGACGAGGGCAACAAGGGCCGAGATCCTGCATTCGTTGTTCCCCACGTTGCGGAAGTGGGAGAAGATCAGCTTCTGGAACTGGTCGATCTTGTCCTGCAGCGTCATGAGGTCTGTGATGGTCTCGTAGCCCTCGTTCGGGTCGTTGACCGCCTTCAGGCTGACGTACTCTTCATACTCAAAGGTGCCGTTGAACTCGGGATGCTGTTGATGGAAGGAAAGCTTGGCAAGCAGGTAATAGACGTATTCTTTAATCAGCGGGCCGTAGCCGCGCATGCCCTCGCCGGCCATCCCACGATTCAAACTGTCGATCCATGGCCGGTTTGCCATCGCCTCCTTGAGCGTCACCGGATGTCCCTCCTGCAGCACTCTGTGGATCGTGATGAGAGCTTTGAACGTCTGCACCTCATCCGCGAGAATCGGTTGCCTGAGTCAACAAGTCAGCGCATTGTACGAGCCACATCTCGATGATGGTGGTTGCGAAGTCTCTCTTCATTGGGGCCAGAGATATATCGACATCCCAAATCAGGACAAGGGTATCCAAGCTACCCGCCGACATGTAGCTTTTCGCACAAGAGTGAACTCATAGCTAAGAAGTATTCCTCCCCGGCCGGCCCCTTCCTTTTACGATAAAACTCCCTGATCCCATATTTTGAGCAAAGGGCTGTATTGGAAGGTGCCGGATCGGGCGGCGGCGAGCTGGGAGGCAATTGTGTGCGTGAAGGATGTAGGGAAACGTCGCGGGGGCTCCAACGCACACTTTCATGCCTGCCCAGAAGGACTGGGAGGACTTGTGGTCCCAGGTGTACACGATGCAGCTGCGGACATGTTTGCGCTTTGGAGCGGTCTCCTCGGGGCTGGTCGCTTTCTTGATGTTGACTGCGAGTTCCGATTCGGACCTGGTCGTAATCCACACGTCAGCTCATGGACTCTCTCGCATCTAAACACTAGACAGGCTGATAGGACCATAGAAGCGCATTCGAGGCAAGCATACTTGGTGTGGTCAAGACTCCGGATGGTCGCCATCTTGGGGCCGCAACTTGCGTGCGTGACGGAGAAGAGAGCGAGCGAGCAGTTATGTGGCGCAAGCTATCGGGAGGTTTGGGATGCGAAACAAACGACGGAGATAAATAAATGGCTCAGCAGGAGCGAGGGCAAGAAGATAGAACGCAATCCAATCCAAACACGCGATGTTGCTAGAGCTCCTGCAGCTCAAAAAGAGGCTGTCATGTACAAGGACGCTGTGCTTTCCCGTCTTTTGTCGCCAAGAATTAAGAGGCGTTGAATCGTCGTCAGCCGTGATGCGATGCTGGAGAGGCTGCAGCTTAGGGAGACCCACACTAAATAATGAGGAGGCTCCCTGATTGGTGAGTGACCTGCTACCACAGCAATGAGAAGGAGAAGGCGGAAAGGGTGGGCCTGAAAAGTTCAAGCTTGCACTAACATTTCCGTACGTATGGCTCGTACAACAAAGTTAGTACACGCTTCACCTTATTTCGCCTACTGCCTACTACCACCCTGCCGGGGTGAGACCATCGGACCATCGGGCTGACGATTGATTCATTGAGACAGCCAAGGCGACAACGTGGGGAATACCAGGCAACAAGATTAGAGAGGTAGACGAAGAATGATATGAGGAAGTCGTGTCTTTGTTGAGTTCTTCTTCACAAGTGCTCTGGTGTCGATAAATTACCTAAGACATGGAAGTACAGGGATGTACACCAAAGCGCTATAATTAGATGACAAATTTCCCTGAGAAAGGCTACCCTAGCAGCGCGCCGACTGGTATCTGGTATCTAGCGGACTCCTCGAAACTGGGTGCAGCGATTTGGCGACTCAGCATGCCACCTGCCTTATCGTTAGCTGCTTACGTCAGCCTTCTCAAGCACCGACTCGCCGTCGCCAACCTCTTAGTCAGACCAGCGTTTATCCTACCCCACATTTCCGTCTATAACGATAAGCCTTATCTCTACCGTTTTTTAATCTAGGATAGATAATATCTTTATATGTATAAGTACACAAGTCGTGAGCCGAATTTGACTGCTGACATGTGCAGGATGCGTGATGCTACCTGCGTGGAGAATCTATCGAGCCACGTGATCTTTCACCTGATGCCTCTGAAATTTTCTCTACTATGTAGACTGCATCAGGCCGGTGCGCCAAATTGCTGGGCGGTTGGTCGAAACCAAGAATCCCTTCTCGAGCTCCTTTAGCACCAGGTCCTGCTTCCATGGCCATTTGCTACATTACACAAGGATTTTCTGCTGTCAATTTCCCTCTCCTCAACACGCATCCAATTGATTTTCACTTCACAGAAACGAATTGTCGGATCCGACATTCCTAGATGCAAGAAAGCACGCGACGCGCACTCCACAGTCGATTCCGCCCCCGCAAATCGTTGCCACGTCGTCCATGACTTAACGATATGACAAAGATTGTAAAAGTCGAAGTACCGTACCTCATTAGGGACAATGATAGGATTGGCACAGGGCTTTCATCCTGGGTGTTACGGGTTGATGCGGTAGCCAAGTGTTACACCAACTCAGAAGAGAGGGAGAGGGAGATCGCCGTCTATGAACGTCTTGGTCGGCATAAGGCAATCCTGCCGTACTACGGCTCTCTAGAAGCGAGTGTTCTCTTGCAATTTGCTCCTTATGGTTCCGTCCGGCAGTACCTCGAAGATCCTCAATCTAAACCCCCTACACTAGCCAGGAAACTGCGATGGGTAAATCAGGCGACCGAGGCGATCTCCTTCCTTCACTCGAAAGCAATATTGCATTGCGATATCTCCTACAACAACATCTTCCTTGATACAGATCACAATGCTCTGGTCGGTGATTTCGCGGGATCGTCTATTGATGACAAAGAGCCGTTAGGCTGGTATGGAATGAGCCACTGCTTTCCTGGTATTGACGATCCCTCTGTGCAGAATGAGATATTTGCTCTGGGCAGTACTTTTTACGAGATCTTGATTGGTAAAAATCCATTTGAAGGACACTTGGCCGTCGAGGTCGAAAGAGCTATCCGTGACGGAAACTTCCCTAGCCTAGATCATCTTCCTGCACTCAGCACCGTCATCTCAAAGTGCTGGCGAGGTGGTTATTCAACAGTGGATGAGCTTCTAAAGGAAGTGAAGCAAGAAGGTTTGTCTCGCTATTCGATTGGTATACTTGTGCTTAACCAAGTAGCCCAAACTCACTCCGAGGTCAAACGACAACCATTTATACAACTACCGTGTGTTCGACGCTAGTCAATTATTGGTTTCGCTTTCACACTCGTTCTTCCATTGACATGGTGGGCCAGGCCCTTAGGACTACTCTCAAGCGTCAGGTACTTTAAATGACGAGGAGTCGAGATACTAACTGGGAGTGGTGGTGGGCATTCCAGACACTCACCACGCTTCTTAAAGGACCCGAAGGTGACAGCTTATCCAGTTTGGTCTGAAGTAGGTACGATAGTAGGACAGAACGTTCCGTTAGCCTTTGCTTTATCACACTCGGCACCACTATATTGATTACAAATATACTTACTTTCTGCCCTACATCTTATATAATAAAAAGAATGTTTAATATACTGGCACATCTTATTGATTAAGATCTATCGTAGCTTGGAAAAGAAAATGGAAGATTGATATGCAAGAAGGCTTATTAGTTTGGTGTAGGGTATTAGGCTACGACTGAGCATCGCATCCTCATGACATTTGAGGCGACGAAAGGGTTCGTTGACTGGGCTTATAACTTCCGAGAAAGACCAAAGTCTTGTGAACACCGCAGACCGATGGCCGTTTCCCTTGAATACCATGTAGAGCAGGAGAGAGTCGTAAGCGGCGCGAAGAATCTTGGGTATATGGGTGCGCAGGATACGGCCGCGGTAGTCAATAGTTTGCCCGACATATGACCAAAAGCTTATGAAGCGATCATCTTCAACGCCGATATGGTATCCTGTATCATAAGAAGAGCCCTCATCTTGCTGTAAACGGATATCCTTCAATCTGAAGAATTGTGGTTTCTATGTTAGCTTGTTACGAGTGAGCAAGATGGGATAGCCTCTACCTTTCTGAAGAAATGTGTCTCTTATGCTTGGGTTCTGAGGCGAGCGAGAGGATCAATGGGTCAATACGTCCAAGTACAGATTTCACCAGGCCACTACGCCCTCCTGGAAATCCCTCAATCAATCTGCTGTCGCCAATTGACGGTAAGAAGTCTTCGCCAGTGTAGATACGGTCAATCAACACTCCCAAAGCAAGTCGAAGCTCATCTAGGGAAGGGAAGATAACCGCTGCAGGAGCGTCGATCACACCAGTCTGGATCAACCAGTTCAGGGTTGTGCGGACATCTATCAGAGTTTCTACTCACCGTCAGGTTTAGTTTATCGAACAACTCTGAATCGTGCTGTGGTCCTTGGATCTTCAGCCTCCAAGGCGGGCCATTCATAGCCGGCAATGGCTGTTCGACGGTTACGCGAGCGACTTCAAAAAGTGGTGCGTTGCTCTTGATGATCGTTCCCGGACCCGCATTTACTGGGAGAAACCCATCACAACCGCGACATTTCATTCGCGTGTTTCGATACGGGTCGCATTCGCGCCCACATCTCCGACAGAATTCTTCAGTGACATAAGACATTTTTGGGATCCTTATTCCTTTCCGAGAACAAAGTTACGGCATTGTTCGAAGTAGGGATCAAACAGTGATCGTAAGCTTGCTAAATTGCGGAAAGAGCTGTCGAGTTGTAGCTTTTTTTTTGTGAAGCGCGTGAGTTAACTTTTGTCCCAGCAACAGGTTTGAGTGTGGGACGCTAAGGTACTAGTGTGGTAGCATATCCACACAGCACAAGACAGTCAACCGAATTAAGAAAAGCATCATCAAGGCATTTTACTGGTCAGTGTTAATAAATGGGTCCGATGGTGTAGTCGGTTATCACGTCAGTTTAACATCTGCAGTTATCACTGAAGGTCTCCGGTTCAAGTCCGGGTCGGATCAATTATTTTTTTTCTCTCCCTTTCTACATCTCGTCAGTCGGGTGTCTTTTTGCGCCACCATGTATGTCCAATCTCTCTTTTTGTGACTAATAATTCATTTGTGCTCTGCTCTGCCTGGGAGGCTGTCAGCCAGACAGAGAATGATTTTAGCACAAGATACGTCTTAGGAGATTTTCAGAGCTGTAATGACGGCGCACACGATAAATCGGCGTTTCGAAAGTGAATAGGCAATTTTACACCTTACTAAGATGTCCTGCAACACGCGCGACTTAGCACCAACAGCTAGAATAAGTTCTTCTACAACTAGTTGGTGAACAGGCTAAGGCTTCTCTAATTATGACGCGGTTAATCAAGCTGTTAATTTCTTCTAGCTTGTACTCCTCTGTAATGTCATCGACTTATTCCTTCCGGCCATGCGATCCATTGACGTTTATCGAAGAGACTTTGGAGGTCTCACTTGTGATGACATTTTGGATTGAGCCTCTTCTATTGACAGGCTTTTAGAGATCATGCGCACACTTTCAGCCCTCGAGTTGTTGATTGATGGCGAATGTTGGTGTCAAGGCGAGATTGCTTTGCTGGTATAGGCAAAACATGCGTCTTCACTCACTTCTTGATGATAAGAGGAAACGCATCTGATATAGCAAAAGATGATAGCAGCATTATTTTCCGGATATTTCGAATGGGGTGCCCATAGTCCTCTAAACCTAAAGGATGAACCGCAGCCTGTTTAGGTGAAGAGTGAAATTACACTCGGACTTCAGATTCATTGAGATTCGTGTGATAATTTACATACCTGCATTGCGCCAAATTGTAACTGATGGAAACAATAAGCAAACCTCCTCAACCACTCCCGTAAGTCACTACTCCTTGCATGAGAAATTCATCTCGCATGCTTTTTAATACTCTCTGTTTGGAGTATACCTACCTTATTTAACCTTATACTCGTAGCCTAATCATGCCATAACCATGATCGCAAGACTTGCCTACTATTTGACTTCAAGATATCTAGCAAGCTCTTCGGCTTTAGAAGAGTTTGCGTATCTTA